CGACCCGCAGTGCCGAAAGCGCTCGATATGTGACGACATCAAGACGTTTTTGGTTCTGGCCTTACTACTGGTCAGAGCTGCTAAAAGCTTTTTTACTAGTCGAAATACAAAATATAAGTGGTGCAAACCATTTCAATTATTTATGAAAGTAGTTTTTGTTCAGTATTTTAGATCAGAAAAGAAACGAATGCAGTTTATAAAGTATGGAAACAAGGAATGACCCGTCGACATACCCACCACCCAGCGGTGGAAAAGGCGGCACATACTAGAAAGGGGTAGTGGGATCAGGCACCAACGAGCGGCGAGCGTAGAAACTTCCCTGATGTATGCAGCAGCGCTGCGGTCGCATGGGCTCGAAGATCCGACCGGTTCCGAGCATTCCGAAGGCCTTCGGTGAGCAGGTGTGGCTTGCGGTTTGGCAGTTTGGTAGCGTGCGGGCGCTCAGCAGCCGTGAGCGCCCGCTGAGCTCACTACCCCTCCTCTAGTTCACGGCCACTCAAGCCAGGACCAAGGACGTCATGAGGAAGGCTATTTTTTGCTTGTTTTTGTAATTTTAATTGGCCTATAACTTTTAAAATAAAGAAAAATCTGAGAAAAGTTTTATTAAGTAACTACATTCAGTGCGCTCAGGTTCGGTGCAAATTAAAAACCAGTTAAAAAGTTGTTGCAGGGCCCCTTTAAGCACTTGACTTACACTTATTGAATTCCAAACAATTTATGCAAATTCCATCCTTGGCCAAACTAACAAGCAAAAAAGCTGAATTGTCATGTGAAATGAGATTACGCCCAACAGAGTAGGGAATCGTAGAAGATTTTAGAGCGCAGCTCTTAGGGGCCCGTTTCCAGCCTGGGCGGCGTCGCCGTCGGCGTAACTGCGCCCTCCCTCTCCTCCTCCTCCCCCTCTTCCTCCTCCTCCTCCTCCCCCTCCTCCTCCCCTCATTGTGTAGTATGGTCCGGGCGGGTCACGTGACCTCGGGGGGAGGGGGTCAGATGACCCGTTTCCAGCCTGTGCGGCGTCGGCGTCGGCGTTGGCGTCGGCGTCGCCCCTCCCCCTCCTCCTCCCCCTCCGCTCCTCCTCCTCCCCCTCCTCCCCCGCCCGGTAAAGTTGGTAAAGGAGAGGGAGGGGGAGCAGGAGGGGAGGAGGACTAGCAGGCATGATCACGAGGGAGGAGGAGGAATATACCCTCCACTCCTACTCCTCAAGAGCTGCGCTCCAATTCGGCGTTACAGGAAGTTGTAAACGGCTTTCACTTTTTTTCAATGTGAGCAATGAAAAACGGGCAGGAATTAACGAACATTCTAAGATCATTTTTGCAGCAGGGGCCGCAAAAGCAGGGGTCACAAAAGGCCCTGCTGGGCCTTCTGCGGCCCCCGCCGCTTCCTGTTTGGGCTAACCCCATGACTGGGCAAGCCCTAGTCTACTGTGCCTCGGCACGCTTCGCCTCTTGGCTGTTAACCATGGGTGCTGTTCCACTTTCTTAGGCATTGAGCCGTCTTAGCCTCAATCAAGACGTATGTGCTCGGTCATCTAAAATTGCTATACTACCTCCTTGATTTAGGAAGCTCTTTGACCAAGTTGCACCTGCCTGTCCGAGGCAGGTTTTTCTTTTTTGAATGTGGTAAGTTTTTTCGTTTATATTTTCACTCCAAACTTGCACCACGTGTACTCCGTTTCACCTTATGTTGTACCCCAGAGAAGGCAAGAAGCGTGAGCTCATAGCGTTGGGAGCTGCTCTTAACGCACGAGAGCTTGTGCCGCCGAGATGTGCCCTAGAGCATGGAGCTCGCGCTTGTAGCCTTTCCTGCGGTACATCATAAGGTGAAACAAAGGCCGTGTTCCAAAATTTACTCGATCTTACTCCAGGGTAAGGGTTTCGTACCCTTGGCGTTCTAAAAGCTACCGGCGCCCAGCGTTTTTCAATCTGTGCTGTCACGTGATACGATCTGACTCGAATCCATTTTGGTAAGATTTGAAACAGCCCCAGTCTCGTTTTTTTTTTCTTCTTAAATTATGTTAAAGAAGTAAAGGGTGAGCGACAGGGTTATCACAGATGACTTTTTGCCAAAGTCAAGTGGAAGAGAAGTACTGTTTCGCGATATTTTCTTATATTATTTATGATCAACATGCCACACCTGCTTTCGCAAGTTTATATTTTTTTTCTTGAGCAACGTGACCTAGTGGTTTCATTCAGTAGCAATAAACCTAGTCATTACAATACACTGTTGCTGCGTTACACGTGATCATGACGAAGTGACTTAATGCCCCTCTGTAGCAAATCGCAGCACACAACGTTGGGGAACTTATTTTTTCGGACAGTCTGGGAGGAAGAAGAGGACGCCGAAGCGAACGGACTAGTTCCTATCGGCTCCGTCATTTATGGTTAATTTCGCAGTATTAATTTGCGCGATTCAAGGTCTTGTGTATCCCAGTGAGTTTGTGAAGTCGAGAGACGCCAACGGATAACAAAGTTCCCAAAGGTACGCCTTTTTTGCCGAAATAACAGACATTTTCCACCACCGTCGTGCGCGGGGCCGCTAGGCCTAGGTGTGCTCCACGAGCGATAGGCCTAGTCGCTGTCGCTCCTGCCGCGGCTCGCCGTTTCGGCGGCGGCCACTAAGCCCCGAGATGGAGGGGACGTCCGCTCGGGCAACGATCTTCGACTCCCAAATGTGCGTGCAAGTTCAAGGCGAAGATCTTTCACCAGAGGAATTCCACAGCGGCACTGGATGGACGCAAGTGGGGGAACGCATGTCCAGACTACGTCAACGAGACCTTGTCGCGAAGCTCGCCGGCACCGACAACCAAGTAAGCAAGAATGCGAAGGGTAACAAGAACGTTAGAGCCTCGGCCATCAAGGCAGCGAGAATGCCAGCCATGCCGCTGGAGGAAAACAAGATCGTCATCAGACCCCGTGGGGGATTGGACATTACCAAGATTGGCACCACGACCGTCGCCACGGCCATTCTCGCCGCGGCCAAGATTACGACTGAAGAGAACGCATCAGACACCATTTGCCCAAACGCGCTACAAAACATCATGGTAGTCAGCACGCCTAAGGAGGAAAACGCCGTCCGCTACGCGAGAATTCAAACGATATCCATTCAAGACAAGACCTTCGAAGTCAGCGCGTACCGCACGGCGCCGCACGACACCGTGAAGGGCATCATCCGCGGCATCCCTGTCAACGCGAGTGCCGAAGAACTCGACAGCAACATTGTAAACGACAGAAACCCACTCGCCGTAGGAGCCAAAAGAATCGGCAACACGACCACGATCATTGTAGCCTTCGGAGGACCCAAGGTACCGAACTTTGTCCGATACGGTGTCACGCTCATACCGTGCAACCTGTATAGAAAGCAAATAGACGTCTGCCACCAGTGTGGCCGGGTCGGGCATCGCAAGGACGTGTGCCCAACTCCAACCAACCGCATCTGCAGGGGCTGCGGCCAAACAAACCCAAAGGAAGACCACAAATGTACGCCCAAATGCAAACTTTGCGGAGGCGCTCACTTGACCGCCGATAGAGAATGTAAAGCCAAATACAAGGTTCCCTACGTCGTCCGCAAGCGGCAGTGGGAGCGCCGAAAGCAAAACGTCAGCGACTGGCTGCCGTCGGAGAGCAACTTCCCGCTACTCGACGAGCCAGCTGCCCGCAAGTCAAGGACGCCATCGAGAAACCGCGCGCCGTCGAGAAATAGCAGCAGCAGGAGCCAGAGCAGAGACGCGCGACAAACAAAAAGCCAAAGATCAAAGTCGCGCGAGAGAGTCAGTTGGGCCGACGCCGCACGAGGTATCAAGAAGACCAATTCGAACGACAATGCCAAGAAAGAAGACAAAGCTTCAACCAAGGAACGAGAAATCAACGAGGCCCTGAAACAGGAGAACGCGTCCCTGCGAGCCACCATCAACAACCTCACCAAGGAAATAGCGGAGATTCGCAACGTCTTATGCACCATCGAACAGCCAAGATCCTGCCCGAGCGACAACAACAAGGTCGAAGAAGCTACGACAGACGGAGATAAAGCACCGGCACCGAAGAAAAGGGCCTTCGAATTGCGTAAGACCACGAAAAACGTAAGCAGCTGCAGCTCCGGCAGCAGCAGCTCCGGCAGCAGCAACAACAATGTCGAGGCGAAACTCAGCAGCCTCGAGGATATGATCAAATCGATGAAGGAAGCCATCCAAGCCTTCCAAACGGAGAACGTCAACAGACTCAATAACCTGGAAAGGAGCTTGCAACTAACCCTAAGCAACCCAACGTTCGGGCCCCTACAGCAGCAAGTCAACCAAGCGCAGCAACCCGGAGAACTTCGAATAGGACCATCATGGCCTCCAGCTCCACAGGCATAACGATGTGGCAGTGGAACTGCCGCGGCTTAGTCAAGAAAAGGGCAGTTGTCCAGCAACACATTGAGCACGCTGCGCGCAAGCCCGACGTGCTCCTACTCCAAGAAACGCTAACGGAAAAGCCGTCCCTCCCCGGCTACAGGGTGCACGCGGGCCCGTCCGACGGCAGAGGTCTGTGCACCCTGGTCAGGAAGGGTCTCACCTTCGTCGAACATCGACTAAGCAACGTCAGGATCGAACACACGCTCACCGAACTCATACCGACCAAGCAAAGAAAAAACAGCATCTTCATTTTGAATATCTACAGTAACCCATCGCAGAGACTGCAGAGGTTCAAAGCCATTCTTCACAAGGCAAGCACGACGGCCGGCCAGAGCACGCTGGTCGCGTGCGGCGACTTTAATGCTATGGATCCGGCGTGGGGCTACGTCAAGAGTAATGCGAAAGGCAGAAACCTATCCCACGATGCGGCGGAGCTCGACTACACACTCATAACCGACCCGGCTCTCCCAACGAGAATGGGCAACTCCGTGTCCCGAGATACCACCCCTGACCTCACGTTCGTCAAGAACAATGAACCGATCACGATCACGTGGAGGAACACGGGGATGGACCTCGGCAGCGACCACATGATAGTGGAAATAGTCATACCGGAGCAGAGCAGTGCTAATGTCAGGAAACATACGTGGATCGATTGGACCGCATTCAGAGATAACAGAAATCAGGAGGCGGAAGAAGAGACCGAAATTGATGACATCGAAACATGGACCAACAAGATCATTCAAGACGTTCAAAACTCAACCAAGAACATAGAAACAGACCTCGAAACGAACACAATGGACAGCCGACTGGCACACCTCATCGAGGCCAAGCAGTCCATACTCAACAGATGGAAAAAGCTACGCCTCAATCGTAGGCTACGGAAAAAAGTCGCAGAACTTAACAGGACAATCGAGGAATACTGTCGCACGCTATGCGCCCAACAATGGGACGAGATATGCAACGCCGCCGACGGACAGATGCATAACGGGAAAACGTGGAACTTGCTTAGGCATCTGCTCGACAAAACTAAGACTAAGTCACACCAAAGAGACCGACTGGCGAAACTCATCCATCGAGAGGTCACTAAACACGGAGCCGAGCATGTGACGAAGCGCATCAGCGACAGATACCTGCCGACTACTCCAACGGAGTGCCACGGGCCGTACGGGGGGCTACGCAACGAGCGTCTTGACAGAGACATAGACGTAGAGGAGGTTCGCACGGCGCTGCAAGACCTCAACAGCAAGTCGGCGGCCGGACCGGACCGCATCACCAACAAAGCACTCAAGAACCTCGACGACAAATCCATCGAAAGTCTCACGAGCTACTACAACAAATGCTGGAAAACGGGAACGCTGCCGACGCAGTGGAAGAAGGCCAAGACTATCCTGATCCCCAAGCCGGGCAAGCCACCAGACACCGACAACCTCCGACCCATATCGCTCACGTCTTGCATGGGCAAGGTGCTGGAGCACGTCCTGCTCAAGAGGTGGCAGGAATACCTCGAGAAAGAGGACCTCTACCCGGAAACGATCATCGGCTTCAGGCAGCACCTCAGTACCCAAGACGCAATGATTCAACTCAAGCACCAGATCATCGACGGCAACACCAGCGACAACAAAGCGATATTGGGACTCGATCTGCAGAGCGCCTTCGACAAGGTGAAACACTCGGCGATCCTATGCCAAGTCTCGAAACTCAACATGGGAGAGAGATCATACAAATACATCAAAGATTTTCTCACGGACAGAACTGCCGAGCTCAGAGCGGGGGATCTCCAAGCGCAAGAGAAGAAGCTGGGAAGCACAGGCACACCTCAAGGATCAGTCATCTCGCCGATGCTTTTCAACCTGGTGATGATAGGAGTGGCCGAAAGGCTCGGAAACATCAAGGAAGTTCGACACACGATATACGCGGACGACATAACGCTGTGGGTGGAAGGGGGCAGCGATGCCCACATCGAATCCACTCTACAGGCGGCTGTCGACGCGATCGAAGACCACCTTGACGGAACGGGGCTCAGGTGCTCGCCGAGCAAGTCGGAGCTCCTTGTATACCCGCCCGTCAAGCACCGCAAACCCAAGAGCAGCCCGAGAAACTACGAGGCAATCAAAGTGAAGAGCAGAGAAGGAAACGAGATCCCAAGAGTCACCAAGATCAGAATCTTAGGAATGACGATCGAGACGCACGGCAGAAACGGTGACACTGTCACCCGGCTCATAGCGAAAGCGGCAAACGCCACGAGACTACTCAAGCGAGTCACGACCAAGAAAAGTGGAATGAGGGAAGAGAGCCTGATCAGACTCATCCACTCGTTTGTCATATGCCACGTAGCGTACGTGGCGGCCTACCACAAGTGGAAGAAGAGCGAGAGAAACAAGATAAATATACTCATCCGTAGGGCCTTCAAGACGGCAATGGGACTGTTCGAAACAACGAGCACCAACCGCCTCCTGCAGCTGGGGGTGCACAATACGCTAGAGGAGATAGCGGAAGCCCAACGCAACGCTCAACTCGAAAGACTATCTACGACCAAGGCCGGCCGGAAAATCCTGGACAACCTGGGAGTTGGCTACCAAGGCAGGGAGCGGACGCAGCTCCCCATCCCCGATGAGATCAGGAACAACATCAGAGTGGACTCTATACCGAGGAACATGCACCCGGAGTATAACAAAGGGAGGAGAGCGGCGAGAGCCAGGGCCCTGATAGATCAGCACGCGGCCGACGGACACGCACGCTACGTGGACGCGGCTGAATACGCCAAGCTACACGGTTTCACGACAGTTGTCGTCGACGCGACCGGCACCGTTCGCACGACCGCCAGCACGAGATGCACCAAGGCAGAACAAGCGGAGGAGGTAGCCATCGCCCTGGCCATCGCCGACCGCGACTGCCACACGGTGCTGTGTGACTCGAGGCAGGCAGTGAGGAATTATGCCAAAAGCATGATATCGAAGGAAGCGGTGCGCATACTGCAGTCAACCAAGAACGACGGCGGCAGCAAACAAGTGAGAATCAAATGGTTCCCCGCGCACGCGGGCGAGGCGTCGGATCGAAACGCCAACCACAACGAGACAGCACATGCCGAGGCGCGCGCGCTAACGGACCGCGCCTCGACCGACTGGCCGCTGTGGTTCAGCACCAAGGACCGAATGACCGACTACAACGAGATAACCAAGGCTTTCCGCCTAGCTCGCAGAACTCTCCCACCACCTTGCTCGGGGCTCAGTCGAGAACAAGCCGTTTTATTTAGACAGCTGCAGACGGGCTCACTCCCCAGCCCGTTGCTGATGCATAGAATGTATCCCGAGGCGCACCCGACAGACAAGTGCAGAGTCTGCCGAAGGGAGACGGCCGGCTTCGCACATATGCTGTGGGATTGTATCAAGTACCCGGAAGAATCAAAGTCTGGGAGCATCCCGCTGCGACTTGAAGCAGCCGCAGGGAGCGATAATCAAGAACAACAACTCTGGGCCGTCCAGCAGGTCATCGGGGCGCTGGCCCGGCAGGGACCCAGCGCCCAGAAGACGATGTAGGCCCCGTCCGGAGCGCGCGCGCAAGCGCGCGTTTTACTGCAGGCTAAAATAAAGTTTACCCACTCCACTCCACTCGGACAGTCTAAAATAGGTTAGACGCATCAGGGTTTATACTGTACACTCAAAGACCATATTCTAACGGGCTGACTGCTACTATTTTAATTACCTTTTTCTCCTAAGCACTTTTCCGCTGCGGTGCTCTAAGTCGCACTTGTTAACATAGTCAAACCTGAGACACACAAGGAGGAAGGCGGCACGTAAAAAGGACACGCACATATACACACACCGTCTCTGCCCTTCTGTGGACGTTACGAGCGGGGTGCAGCAAAGATCTGTGGGCAAAACCACGAGAAATAGGGTGTGCGAATAGTGGTTCAAAGCTCATAGTGCTGCGTAATTCCTAACCCTCACAGTACGAAGGAAACACACGAGATACCAGATACCAGTTCTGTTTGCCGTGTTGAAGCTATGAATTACGCTGCGCTATTCGGTGCTAACTTCACAAGTACTCGCACATCACGACGAAGTCTTCGAACGAGATGGTTGCTGCATGCCGGCAGCATTTTCAAATCATGATAGCGGTGATGAAACCGACCTGCCTGTCCCACAATGTCCCGCTCTCGCTGATCCCGCCGAGGCTGTGCTAGAGTGACATTGTAACACCGGTAAGCACCACTTTGAAACGCTGCATCGACTATCCCGCGACTCAGTTTTGGCCATCTTGAAATCGCTTCAAGCAACAAACACAACCAGCGCCTCCTAGCAACGCATAGTTGCTTCAGACTACCGCTAGAGCTCAAGTGGGCGCTGAAAGTGTCAGCGTGCCACGCCCGCCACGCTATCAAGGCGAACGTAGCGGCGTAGCCAGCGTAGCTTCCCAGGGACAGGAAACCAAACAAATTAGTTGTTAGTTGTTTATAGTGGACGAGTTTAGCCTGCCAGAACATGGCGACATTGTAACCCACTGTAGATAAGCAATTTAGCCAGTGCAGTACGTTTGCTAGCCTGGGGTCTTTACATGCCTTGCAAGTGACGTCACACTAGGGAACATCTAGGGAACATCTAGGGAAGGACAGGGCCCCGCACCATACTGGTGGTTGACTTCACACCGCGGGGACGCGCTTACCAAGGCGTAGGATGACGCTAACGGCCCGGACATGCGCTAACATGCACCATATTTTCAACAAAGGTACCGTGAACGTAGAAAAACGTGCTGAGGTTACGATAATGACGTTTATCTAGTACGTGCGGAAATTTTCGGCATTGGTGCGATTGCGCTACGAGCAGAAAGTTTCGAAATGCCGCCGACGAAGTTTTGACGCGAAGAAATGCCGTGTCGCCGAAAAATGAAAAAGCTTAATTGCGGGCTTCATCATTTGACGAGTGGCTCCAGGGGTCGCTTGTAGAAAGATTGTTACGATTTTGCGAAATGCTGGTAAACAATGCAATGTAACCGTCATAATCTGAACCCTGAGACAAGGATAAATCAAATAACGGACAAGAAACTCATTGTCTCGGGGTTTATATTATGATGTTTCCTAACCGGCTCGCCTGCATACTTTCGCTCCTTGCAAAGGTTATCGTATCGCGGGCAGCGGATGGTACAAACCGATGACCCGGCGGCGGCGGCTCGGCGAGCTTGCACATGGGGGCCGCCGCCGACCGATCGCAGTCGGGCCGGGCTCGCGGCGCGACACTCGCACGGATTCGGCCGGGAGCCCCGAAGGTGCGCTCGAAGCGTGAAAACGGCGTTATGCAACGAAGGCCAAAGGCCATATACACCAAGAACGAGAAAACGCCGATGCGAAAGCGTGCGCGAACGTAAACAACGGTAGAAAAGTGTCGTCGTTCGCCGCTATGAAATGCGTCCCGCAAACTCGATAATCCGCGGCCGCATCCCTTTCCTGCCGCTCGTACTTTATCTAACTTGACGGCTACTCTGTCTCGCGGGGCATGCCGACGAAACGATCGGACGATCATCGGGATACGGGGTAATTGCTACAGCCGAGCGCGGCGCAGTTTACCATTGCTCTCGCTGCGAAGGGCCGTCGAGTCAACCACCAGCATGGTAGATACCGGTGTTCGACGTCATCAAGTGACGTAGGTGCAAGGCATGTGCACCACACAGTAGTGATACGCGACCGCACGCCGGTACGATGCTCATCCCGCTCGAAACGGGCAGGGGTGGGGATTGAACCAAGGATCCCTGGGTTCTGCAGCGCGAGCTTTCGCTCCACGTGCTCCGAGCTGGTGTGCGCTAGCCCACTCGGTCTCAGATCCCCCCCCCCCCCCCCCCCCCCCACTCCCCGGGGACACACCATGCCCTGACCGTTCCCCGACTGCGCCAGCAAGGGAAAAGAAGAGGACGGAAAAACACAAACCTTCAAACAAAGCTGTCAAAGCTACTCTCGCGAGCAAGTGGCTGAGACGTGCAACAAACGTAGCAACACTCTACTTGCGCGAGCAAATAGAGTGTTGCTACGGCGCCTCCTTTGCACAAGAGCGCGTGCAAATAAGACGCAAGACGAAGCCACGTGGCCACATATATTTCTTGCAACAGTGCTATACTCCGTTTCATACTTAGCGTGCAACACTGTCAAAGCTACTGGCGCGAGCGCGTGGCTTCATCTATGGTTTTGTTTGCGCGAGAACACGTGCAAATGATCAACGAGGTCAAGCCCCATGCTCGCGCCAGTAGCTTTGAGAGCGTTGCGCACTAAGTATGAAACAGAGTATAGCAGGGCGGGACTGCAGCGTCTCCTTTGTGCTACGTTGTCAAAGCTAGCTTAGCCTCCACAGTGCTCCAACTCCATCACAAATAGTTGCGCGAACGCATGCGAATGAAATGTAATAGACAAAGCCACGCGCTCTCGCAGCAGTGCGGGGCTGCTGCACATTGAAGCTACGCTAGTTTTGACAATATACCACAAGAACAGATAACATAGAACCAAAAAGTTTATGCCACAAGTGCATGAGGCTAGTTCTGCCTGTCCAGTGACCTCAGCTCATCCGAATTATTTTGTTTACACGAGAAATCGCGCACAAAAGACACTTTTCAAAACCACACTCGCACCCGCGCTGATTTGTCAGCACTGGAGATGTTATCTACAAATTCACAACCCAGCAAACACGTGTTTCTTGCCTTGGTAAGCATGGACACGAACAGAGAGAATGGCACCACCTCAGCACGTGCATGTTCGCCGCGTCGGAAAGTGCAAAGCACCTGCCATGGGCGCGAACGCTAAAATGGGGATGGCGCGTCCCTTGATCGCATACCGGGGCAACGAATACGCACATACTATAGTGTAAAGCTGCGCGTTGGGTGATACAGCGTGACAGCCCAATTCCGATTTAGGCAAGGACAGGTCCCGCTGTACCGTATAAACGAAAGGATGCATCAGGAGAGGGTGCTGACGCTGAAGGTTTTAGTTTGTCTGTGACAGGTAAGCGGTACTATGAACATAGTATCTACAATAATATATACATTATAAATATAGAAATATTCTAAACAAATATATTACATGTGCATGCCAAACGGTGTGCGAACTGCAAGGAAAAGAAATGTTCACGGTGTATACAAAATAATAAAAAATGAGTGATCTGTTATCTAAATCTAAAGTTGTCAAAACTAAAAAAAATTTGGGGCCAGAGGATTATGGTCACTACTCTACTCCGTCTCACAAATGTCTGCAGTAAAGACGGCACACGCGTGTGACCATAGCTCAGCAGAATCTCGTGCGTCAAAGACACTTCAAAACCACGCGCTCGTGATCGCAAAGATCAGCACTGCAGATCTTTTTGGGATGGAGTACAGGCTGTGTAGTCTGTAAATACATCTGACCGCCGCCGTCATGTATACCTATGTACATTACGTATTTTACTACAACACTGTAATGTACCAATTCTTTCATGATGAAGCACGAGCCAAATTACTCCAGCATCAAGTAGCATGGCAACGTATACGGTACACACGCTGAACGCACTCGCCTTATCAGTATAGGCAGTATAGAGTATTCACTGGACGCCATATTTGTGGGTGCTGTCTAGAGCGCACGCTCAGAAAGAGCTCACATTAAAAGGCTGATAAGACCGGCAATCTTGATGGTGCGGAGTGCACGTATTAAAATAACTGTGGAAGCTCGCCGTCAGCACGCGCTCAGCAGTCGCGCACATAGCTATGGCCGCCAGTGATTACTCCCCATAACACGTTCGAGATAGTAAATAATCATAATAAAACGTTGATGAGTTCTTGTCCAAAGTGCCATTTGTATTAGGTTTCTGCTTTAGCTGAAGTGTGTGTGATTCGTGACGGCCTTGCATATCTTCACCTAATCTCAAATGTTTTACCAAAATGAAAAAAAAAAAAAAAAAAAAAAAGTTGCTTTTACGCAAGACAGGGTAAGGGGTAGAATGGGAGGAGAGGGAGTGGAATTCGGGGCGCCTTGGCACGGCCCAAAAGTGGTGTATGGCAGTGTGAAAACCATGTAAATGCATTCCATCAAAGTATAGCAAACAACAAATATTGTTTTCATTGGAGACTCGTGTTTTTCCCCGAAGAACTATTTAGACAATTTTCCTGTTTTGAAAAATGAGTCACGCAAGCGTATTTTAAATTTTTGTTACAGACGAAAGCTTATGTAATACTGCAAAATCGATTATATTTACCGGAGAGGTGCACCTTGAGCCCATGGCCCCGCGTATAAGCCGCAAAAAATTGCTGGCACTGCGTTGTGATATTGTATAATATATATATATACGTATATCTATATACGTGTGCTGCATTGTATAGTAGAATTTGTGCCAACTTCCTCAGGTAACAAAAGCAAATATTTCTTAATTGACTGAAATTTATGTCATCTTCACGTTTCTAGAAAGCGTGGAAGGGTTGTAAGTTCTCTTTAGACGCGTTGGTTTTCGGTGAAAATGAGTGCATGCTGTTGACATAGAGCATAGCATACGCTACGAGTGATCCCAGTCAATCCAGCTGCGGCCCATCGTAAGGTCAAACGGAGTAGACTAACTTTGGGACGACGGACATGTCGCTTTGTTCAGCTAGCCGG